CACACACACCCACTCACACACACACACACACCCACTCACACACACACACTCACACACACACACACACTCACACACACACACACACTCACTCACACACACACACACACACACTCACACACACGCACTCACTCACTCACACACACACACATACTCACTCGTGCACACACCCTCACTCGCGCGCACACACACATACTCTCACTCACTCACTCACACACACATGATGATGTCTGTCTCACTGCAGACACACAGGTGAAGGTCTGGATGAATAAGTACGGCTGGACGGAGAATGAAGATGGACAGATATTCATTCATAACCAGGAGGAGAGCGTCAAGCCCAAGAACATCGTGGAAAAAATCGACTTTGAGAGTGAGTTTCTCTTAATGACATCGACTTCTGGCTGTAATGTTGAAGTGTTTGTCCTGATGACGGATGTTCTCTGGTGTTCGCAGGTGTGTCCAGCATCATGGCGACGTCACAGTGAACACACACACACACACACACTCCATCTCATGCCTGAGTTTCCTCTTGATTTAATTTTGCAATAAAGTCATTTCAGTTAAGAAATTTGGAGTCTTAATTTCATTAAAATTTAGATATTTATGCAGCTTGATGTCAAAAACGTTTAAATTTGTTTTTCACATTTCAGTTTATACATAGACACATTTTCTTGACTCACTTGACTCTTCAGATATTATAAAAATATGAAGATTTTGGATTTTCATTCTTTAGGAAAGAGATCAAAAATGTATGGAAGCTTGTTTTCTCCACCGGTAACTTGCAACTTTTTAGCTCCGTTTATATCTCACCATTCCAACAGTTTTGTCTGGTATGTTGCAGTTCTGACTTATTTCTCAGAATTGTAAGAAAAAAAGTCTGAATTGTGAGATATAAACTAAAAATCCAAAAGTCCAAATTGTGGGTTAAAAAGTAAGTTTACTTTTAATTTTTTCATCCAGTGGCAGAAACAAGCGTCCATACAAATGTGATTCTAGATTTGAATTAGATGTTTCAAATATGCATTTATAAATCATAATATAAGCTGAGAATGACGGACCTCCTCTGTGTGACAACTAGCCCCAGGCTGATCTCTAAAGAAGACAAAACTGCACAGAGAATCAGTGGAGGTGCTAAATATTGCCTTAGTTTTGACAGATTTTCAGGGTTCTGCTGTGTGTCTGAAATATGAAGGCAGGCTGTGATGCGCTCAAATGATTGAGATTTCTTTTTATTTACACTGAATACTGAATCAGCATTTGTGTTGGTCACGGGGCAGATTTCATATCAAACAATTTCGCTTTGATTTAAGGACTAGTTAATGGTCAGGGTTGGTGTTAGCACAATGTTTTACTGGAATAGTTGTTCCTCCCAAGGTTTATTGGTGAAAATGTGCTGTATTTGTTATGTGCTCACATCGCTCATAATAATCACACCTGTCAAGCTCCAGAAATGTCAAAAAGAATATCAAGGCTCATTTTCTGTGGCTTGAGCACTGTGTTGGAAAGCTTATGAAGGCTTTATGCAAGAAAAGAGATTTAAAGCACAATTTGCACAGAAATAGAGTAAATCAATAGTAATCTGTAGATGATAGACGTATTGACCGAAGTGCATCATTAGAGAGCATTTAATGGAATTCAGTTCTGATTATCTTGTTGCAGAATGTTCATGTTGAGAGGTGTACTTCTGTATCTTAATGTGAAGTTGATATATGGATCTAGAGACGCATGCCGTAACACACACACACACAGTTGCATTGCCAAAGAGTTCTTTATGTAAAGCAATAAAACAATGTCTTCACTCGACAAATTGCTGGTACTCTCTCGGCAGTTAATTTGAGTGTTTTTCCCAATTTATCACATTAAACATCCAGAGTATCAAAGCATCTAACATTTAACACATGACGATAACCCATACGGACTGTGCTGCTTTTGAAGGCATCACGAGACGATCCATCCTGACTGGCACATCTTCCATCCGTCTGCAGAAACATCATCGTCCGGTGCTGGAGCTCATCTTCACAGCTGAGGACGATGAGGATGATGAGGAGGAGGAATGAGCTCTTCGCTCCTCATGCGTCCTGATATTGTTTGGCCAGTAACCACATGAGCAGAACTGTGATCAACACAATCATAAAGTTCAGAAACAGCTCCTGTGAGGATCGGTCCATCTGAGATGTTTAGAGCAGAAACACGACAGCTGTAAGACTGGAGATGACCGGAGCTCTGGATCAGAGACAGAAAGAGAGAGAGATGTGGAAAACAGACAAGTATGCTGGTCATTAAGAAATGAAGCCAGCAGTCTATCCATCCATCTGTCTATTCATCCGTCCAAGTTTCACCCCGTTTGGCTTTGAATCAAACCCAAATCTATCATCAGTTTAACTGCTGTGAGACACACTCACACATATATATATACACTCACACACACTCTCTCTCTCTCTCACACACACACACACACAGATGTATATATACACACAGACACTCACACACACACA